GTAGATTCATGTCCTATGATTAGTTCTATAGCTCCAGCATATGTCATTAGTATCAGTGATCCACAGACAGTGTTTTCAGGGAGTTCAGTTACTATTAATGTTACAGTTGCTGGTACTCCTGATGATTTTACATATCAATGGTTTAGAAATGGTATATTAATAGCTGGAGGAACAGATTCTACTTTGACTATACCAAGTATCAGTACTACTGATATTGGTATATATACTTGTACACCAAATAATTCTAGAGGAAGTGCTAATTCATCAAGCACTACAATCAGTGTAGCTGGTAATTTTTTAATAATTATTTAATCGATGATTTTCAATACTTCATGTACTTTTAGGCTCTCTATCAATTAATGGAGTTGAGATGCAGAATATATCAAATTTTGCTCCTCCTGTCTCCAGTGGATATACCATCTCACCCAACAATTCAAGAATAATACTGACAGATTCAGGAGATTTGATCATTGATCCTCTTAGTCCACAAGACACTGGAACATACACTTTCACATCAACTGATCATGGAGGAGCTACACTTACCATCACTGTTGATATATACGGTAAGATACACTTACATATATTATTTTTTAATCAATAGCTATTCATTTCTATAGCTCCAGCATATGTCATTAGCATCAGTGATCCACAGACAGTGTCTTCAGGGAGTTCAGTTACTATTAATGCTACAGTTGGTGGTACTCCTGATGATTTTACATATCAATGGTTTAGAAATGGTATATTAATAGCTGGAGAAACAGATTCTACTCTTACTATACCAAGTATCAGTGCTACTGATATTGGTGTATATACTTGTACACCGAATAATTCTAGAGGAAGCACTAACTCATCAAGCACTATAATCAGTGTAACAAGTAAGTTTGTTTATTTTTAGACTGATAATAACTGTCATTTGTTTTTTATTATAGCAAATTAATTGCATGCGCTGAGTAAAATAAATTATCTTCTTCAATACATGTGTGGGTATCTTAGCACTTTTTGAATAGAGCTTATTCTTCCCTATCAAGAAATGCAATTGATTTATGTACTTCTAAAGGCACATAAAGCACAGTGTACATGAGCATAAAGAAAGAGTTACTGATGATGTATCAATGCCCTAGCAAAAATAATTTACTTTGGCATTATTCATTGCTCAAAATTTATAAAACCTCCGTGCATGCAGAAAAAAGGTTGCTGTTATTTTAATCAGTTTGATGCTAACTTTATGATAGGTCAATGTAGCATTGTCCTTGTGAATGAGAATTTGTAGAACTTTGTCATATTCTACATAATTGTTTTATTTTATATTTCTTGCAAATAGGTTCTGTATCGATTAATGGAGTGGGAATGCAAAATATATCAAACTTTGCTCCTCCTGTCTCCAGTGGATATACCATCTCACCAAACAATTCAAGAATAATACTGACAGATTCAGGAGATTTGATCACTGATCCTCTTGGTCCACAAGACACTGGAACATACTCTTTCACATCAACTGATCATGGAGGAGCTACACTTACCATCACTGTTGATGTATATGGTAAGAATCACATAATTCTTACACCAATAGACATTTACTGTCATTCATTTGTATAGCTCCAGCATATGTCATTAGTATCAGTGATCCACAGACAGTGTCTTCAGGGAGTTCAGTTACTATTAATGTTACAGTTGGTGGTACTCCTGATGATTTTACATATCAATGGTTTAGAAATGGTATATTAATAGCTGGAGAAACAGATTCTACTCTTACTATACCAAGTATCAGTACTACTGATATTGGTATATATACTTGTACACCAAATAATTCTAGAGGAAGTACTAACTCATCAAGCACTATCATCAGTGTAACAAGTAAATTTATTTATTAATAAAAATCAAGTTAATTTTGTATAACTCCATAGATTCTTTATCAATTAATGGAGTGGGAATGCAAAATATATCAAACTTTGCTCCTCCTGTCTCCAGTGGATATACCATCTCACCAAACAATTCAAGAATAATACTGACAGAGTCAGGAGATTTGATCACTGATCCTCTTAGTCCACAAGACACTGGAACATACACTTTCACATCAGCTGATCATGGAGGAGCTACACTAACAATCTCTGTTGATGTATACGGTAAGAAGATACATGCAAAATCATATGCTAATATTATTTCTATAGCTCCAGCATATGTCATTAGTATCAGTGATCCACAGACAGTGTCTTCAGGGAGTTCAGTTACTATTAATGTTACAGTTGGTGGTACTCCTGTTGATTTTAGGTATCAATGGTTTAGAAATGGTATATTAATAGCTGGGGAAACAGACTCTACTCTTACTATACCAAGTATCAGTACTACTGATATTGGTATATATACTTGTACACCAAATAATTCCAGAGGAAGTACCAACTCATCAAGCACCATAATCAGTGTAGCAAGTAAGAGTGACAAAACACTTTAATAAATTATTCCTTTATTAGGTTCTCTGACACTTTTTGGAATGAGATCGCAGCTAATTTCAAACTTTGCTCCTCCTGTCTCCAGTGGATATACCATCTCACCCAAAAATTCAAGAATAATACTGACAGAGTCAGGAGATTTGATCACTGATCCTCTTAGTCCACAAGACACTGGAACATACACTTTTACATCAGCTGATCATGGAGGAGCTACACTTACCATCAGTATAACTGTAATTGGTAAGCAAGTTTTACTTATAGAGACTTTTTACATCACATATCACAGGATCTACCATTGAAATATCGGTTGGGGAAAGAGTTGTTATTCCATGTCATACATTTGATGCATCTGAGTTCAGGTGGTTAAAAGATGGAGCTGTTATTCCTGGAGAAAATGGATCCAGCCTTGTTTTGTCAAATGTATCATATGTAAACATTGGACGATACCAGTGTATTGCAGTCGATGATGATGGGAATAGTACTTCATCACCTAGTTTTCAGATTAATGTTAACGGTTAGTAAAATGGATGAACTCATAAACAATGCCAGCTTGATTCTCTTACAGATTCAAAGACTCTAGTATGGTTGACTCCATTACGTGAATTGGTATTTCCCCCAGCTAGTGAGGCTTACAACTGCACTCCTTCTGCTCCGTTTAATGTCACATCAACTGGTCATCTTGTGACAACTGGACTCTCAATGCATCATTCAAGGAATTACTCTTGCTATAATAAAGACATCAATGGAACTCTAATATTAGAGCTGATTGTTGAAGGCCTACCACCACTTGTCCCTGAAATACAAATAGTTAAGTTTTCCAGTCGTGACTCACAATATATCTATGTAGAATGGAACAATGTAGCCACACCATTGCGTCCTGTGTCAAGCTATACATTTAACTGGAGAGTGACCTTTAAATCAGGAACAGTTGACAAGAGGCAACTAAATGCTGAATTCAACACAATCAGCACGACTAACAATTATCATTATGTATCATTCAGGCGTGGTGAAATATTTGCTTTTACTGTTTCTGCAGCTAATGAAGCTGGAAGTAGTTCACCAAGTCAAGAGAAGATATTTGATGTTGATGGAGAGCTTGGAACTCCTGGCGGAACTGAAAGGCAGGAGTCACTCCATGCTTGGATAATAGCACTAATAGTTATACTTGTACTGATTTGCTGCATTTGTTGCCTATGCTGTTTAATATGTCTGTGTTGTCTTTGGGGTAGGAGAAGAAAGCGAGACTACAATGCAGAAGAACAAGGTACATAAATTATTATTATATACTTAAAAATGGATTTTTTTTTCCTTTACAGAGAAGAGACATGCTACAGAGCTTGAAGAGTAAGTTATACCAAATAGAGTATCAATGCTAAGTTATACATTATTATAAACAGATATCGCAAGAAAGGAGAGGAAGAGGGTGAAGATGAGAGTGATGAAGAGAGCAGTCAAAGTGAAGGTTCTATTAAGGATCCAGAGGATGAACCAGAAGAGGGAGAGCAAGAAGGTCCTGCACCAGATCAAAACTCAAACTCTGAATGATGAACTAAAGTCAATTGACTATTTTAGAGTAAATCCCATTATTAACTATTTTTAGCACAATAATTATTATAGATCTATGGTTAATAAATTTCTCTATTTGAAAATTTTATTTTTGTAATACTTTAATTCTTCAATACTTTCTTTAATGTCCTCCAATGCCCTTCAAATTAGTGATGAAAATAAAAATAAAGGATATAGCCTACCTATGTGAATTTTGTTTCTTAGGTGCAAGATCATAATCTTTCACGTACCACCTCCTAAATTGATAATTAAAGTAACAGCTTTGTTACAGCACAATGTTACACTAACTCTTGCTTCAGTTACATTTTAAAGCAAGAAATAAGGAATATGGTGTACATATAGAAGCTACCTAAATTTTCAAACAACTAGTTTATGAATAAAACAATGCTCTGTTAGATTAGGCTTGCCTCATTATTGTATATATCTAAGTATGATATCAACAGACCTGCAGAGCTCTTTTATGCTGCTAACATCAACTATCCTATAGTGAAGATAACTGGTAAACTCTGGCATATATTTTATTAGAAACATCTTGTCACAATAAATAGAGTTTCCGGCAAGTGGACAGGATCCTTGTGATGTGTGCTCCTTGACAAAATCAAGCATCATAATTTCTACATCTCTCATTGAATATCTAGACTCTCTACATGATTTAATGAGACCAGTCTGTATAAAAGAAAAGTAAGACAATAGAGGGTATATCATCATCTATTTTAGGTATATTCAATTTACACAAAATGAATTGGTTTTTCTAACTTTTTCATGATGATCCTGTGACCATTCCTCCATTGATGTCAATACAGATTCAGGATGATGTACACACACATCAGGGCCCTACAATAGTTATAATTATCAGTATTAACATTATTACCATGCTACAAAGAAGAATGCAAAAGGTTAGATCTAACAAAGTTGCTTATTAATTTTGTTGCAGTGGTCACCATGAAACAATGTATCAAGCCTTCAAAGGCTTCAAGAGAGATCAATCCTGCCAAAATTACTTATAAACAATATTATGGTAAGTTACAGGTAATGAAAGTTTTAAAATGTATCACTGCAGCTAATGTGAAAGATTTGGTTCAGTTAGACCTACTCACTTCTGCAATAACTTTAAGATTTCCATCAGTAACAATACATGCCATCTCTAATATAGTACACTTGTTGATGTCGAGACCTAATAATAATGCATTAAAAGTGACTTTTAATTATAGGTGCTATTAATTGTGGACTATTGGAATAAAAATTGCAATTGTCAGTACATGTAATAAATACCATATAACTGTTAACAAAAATTTACAAATTGCAATTATTACTAGTACCACTGAAAGTAAAAATTCAAATATCATTTTGATGATGTACTCGTAATTAAAAGCTACTCTAAGGTAGCTAATAAAAATTTGGAGTGGCAAAAAAATTCTTTTGCAAAGGGTTGGCAGATTTAAATTTAGACAACCCCTTATATAAGCAGATTAAAAAATAAGCTTGCTTCATCAAAGTTTTACCAAATTAGCATGAATAGTTTTATTGAAGTGGTTCCTTACCAGTCATTTCAAGATCAACCCAAATCATTTTGTCACTCATTTTGCTGATGTAATTACTATTAGATCTAGCACATAAAATACCTAAAACAAAATACAATAGCAAAAGGAAAATCTCTGCAGAGAGTACTTTTCAGAGTAAAGAAACTTGGTAGGCGGGGCATTATGGCAGTCTCCGCCCTTTTACAATCATGGCGTCTGCTAAAGGGATCTTTTGCGAGAGCTGTAAAGAGAAACGAGCTTCTATAAAACGACCCAAGACAGGACAACCTTTATGCCAGGAATGTTTCTTTGCAGTATTCGAAGAAGAAGTCCATCAGACCATTACTCAGAATGGATTATTCAACAAAGGAGAGCGAGTAGCCATAGCTGCTAGTGGTGGAAAGGACTCGACTGTATTAGCCTATATAATGAAACTGCTCAATGAAAGGCACCACTATGGGCTGGACCTATTCCTTCTTTCTGTTGATGAGGGGATTACTGGCTATCGTGACGACTCACTTGAGAGCGTGAGGAGGAACAGGGACCAGATGGGTATTCCCCTTCAGATCGTCTCTTACAGTCAACTGTATGGCTGGACTATGGATGCCATTGTACGTCAGATAGGAATGAAGAATAACTGTACTTTCTGTGGTGTGTTCAGACGACAGGCACTAGACAGAGGAGCACTGCTATTGAAAGCTGACAAGATTGTGACTGGTAAGAGCTAAGGGTTGATTTCCACTTGGTCTTGACAGATAGACATAGTGACATAGTTTCCATTAAATCCAAAAAGGGACAGAGTTGAAGTTAATTCAACATGACCAGGGTTTCCCACAGGATTTTGGCATAGTACTCATGCAAATTTTTTTCAGTGGATTTTGAAGTTGATAAAAAATTTGACAAAATACCATATACTTTAAAGGGTATTTTTTAATTTTTAGGATAGAATTATGATACTTTCTAATACATATGCATGTTTTTGTGCTGTATGGTAAAAAAAGTGACTAGTAGAGAATTCTTAGTTTCAGTATTTTTTTCTGATGCATATACATGTTTGTATGGTGTGTAGAAAGTTTAAACCAGTTTTACAAATTTTTAAAGTTACTCAAAGTTGAGCCAAAGTCCCTGTACTATAGTGCAGAGTCATTGGCAAAATTTTTTCAAGGATAACTAGGAAAGAATTTTCCATTTTTTATAATTTTTCTGCTGCAGATACATGTTTGTATGTTGTGTAGAAAGTTTGAAGTGGTTTTGATCAAAATTGGATTTTTTACAAGTTTTTAAGAAAAGAATTCTCCACTTTATAATTTTTTCTGATACATGTATGTCTTCTTATGTTCTGTAAAAATTTTGAGCTGATTCCAATCAAAATTGAATATTTTATGTACTTTTGAAGTTGCTTTAACAGCCATGTATACTATATCCCAACTGACTTTGACACCAGCCGCTTGGAATTTGAAAAATGTAGGTATACGTCACTGATGACGTCTTATAATGATATTCATAGAAGCATGTCCGACATTTTACAGCTGCGTTCTTGGCCTGTATTGGGTTTATAGCGAGAACCCGGTTCTCAGGGTTCCCAAGGGCTGAGAGACCCAAGACCTGGGATCCTGTGATGGCATTGGGCAATTAAGAACCTGTGAAAGTTTCATCCTTATTCCACATTCCTATAAAAAGTTATTCCAGTTTTTCTTGGGTTAAACTCAGTTGGGATATAGTATACATGTCTATTGTAGTGATTGTCATAGACCATGCTGTGTAGCTCACTTTGTGGGAAACCCTGACAGTGACCAAGTGGAAACCAAGGTTTAAAGGGAATAAGAATAATAATCAAATTTTTAGCTACAAAATGAGTGTACACATCTTTGCTCACTAGAAAGCATAAAAATAAAATATTGGTGCTGGGGGCATATGAAATGGTGTGGTTGTTTTTTGTGGTCGGCCATGAGACATTGTTATTCTATACCCTAGTGCATGTACATGTACATGTATGTAATTAACCACATCCTCTCTCAAAAGGTCACAATGCTGATGATATTGCAGAGACGGTCCTAATGAATGTCCTAAGAGGTGACATTGCTCGGCTCCAACGCTGCACACACATCATCACCGGCTCTGATGGGGCCATACCTCGCTCTAAGCCTTTCAAGTACTCCTATGAGAAAGAAATCGTCATGTATGCTTACTTCAAGAAATTGGACTATTTCTCTACCGAGTGTGTGTACTCACCGAATGCTTATAGAGGACATGCTAGGACTTATTTAAAGGATCTTGAAGCCATCAGACCAAGCACAATCATTGACATTATTTATTCTGGAGATAGTTTATCAGTAAGCTCCTAATGATTTTTGTGTTTTTTTTCATTTGTATCAAGTGCAATACTGTTGTTAATTGTTTTCTAATAGCAATTTCAGTTAGCCATAAGTGTTTTAGTTACATTAGCTAAACTTTGCAAATTTAGCTCTTAACTCTGTGGGTTTAATCTGACAATTATTATAATCATTATTTTGATTTTTCCAATCATCAAGTTTGTATAATAATTGATATTCATTGGAGAATAATAGTGATGTACTGTACTACATGTACATGTACGAAGAGCATAGCCCTATTGAATAATATGAACATTTTTACATTAAAAGGCACTTTTTACATGATTCTATTGTCAAGCATCTTCAAAAGGACACCTATGGGCCATTACTATCGTGGAGTTGTCTATCAGAGTGACACCCTGTCCTAATTAGACTATATTATCTATTCTCCACATGTACAGAGTATGCTAATTAGATAGTCCATTGTATAACTATCTTCACCCATTGAAGGAGAATTTCTATGCTTGTACATGTAGTACATGTAGTACATGTAATCAAGAGTAGATAATATTACATGTATTTACTCTTGATGTAATGTAGTACATGTACATGTATGTGTGTAGGGACAGCAACTGATTGTCTGTTGTAAAGAATAGACTAGAGAGAGGTTTTGTTACTCAATAGTACTATTATTATCATCAACATAGCTGTCTTTTGTGATTTTAATTGTTATAAGCATTCACAATACAAATTTTGGCCCATAATACAATAGTCAATAGTTTTTGCCAAAATGGCACATGATCTTGCTCTAACAGTCAAACTATTATGGTAGCCAACTGAAATTAAAAGAAATATAACCAAATAGTACATATAACAAACAAATTACTGGTAGGCATATGTTATTTTGAAATCCAATATCAGTCGCAGTTGATAATTTTGTGCCCATTCATCCCTATTGTTTTGCTGACTAATAATTATTAATTAGTTAAATTGATTATTTCACTCTTAGAATGTGCTGTGTTTGCTACACTCCTCTTCTTTCTCTCGAGTATTAGCTCCTCCTTTTAACATTAGCTCTGTCACTGATACTACAATTATCATAATTTTGTCCCAATAGGTAAAGGCTGAAATAAAACTACCCGTTCAAGGAACATGTAGCAGGTGTGGCTACATATCGAGCCAAGAGCTTTGCAAGGCATGTGTGCTATTAGAAGGATTAAATAGAGGATTACCTAGACTAGGGATTGGGAAAGCCAATGGTAGCAATCTCAAGGAACACATTAAGAAATTACAATTAAAAGAAGAAAGAGAAAGGGAGAGTCTAAGAGGAGAGAAAGAAGGAGAATTAGAAGAAGAGAGAGTGAAGGAGGATCAATTAGTGTATGGAGGCTGTAAGGAGGAGAGAGGATTGAAGTGTTCCTGTGGACATAAAACAGACACTTTATCTCTACAAACTGAAAATATATCTTTAGAATTTTAGTAAACAATTCATTAATGTGTCACAAAGGGAATGAACTGTTACAATGTATATTTATAACTATGCCTATGTATGGCAAAGGCATGGGTAGGGTAATGATAACCCTACACTACAGATAGTTGATGTTTAGACTAAATTGGGCCATTATGTAATGTATCCTAATGAAATGAGAGCAAACAATGCCATAGCTAATCTATACTGGAGTGGCTTTATTGTTTGCCTAACTGGCTCATCTTTTTCCCAATCAATAAGTTCTATAAAGGAAAGAGTTACGCCAGCCAGATAAACAGTGAAGGTAAATGTTTTCCTTCTCACATTATGTCATCTTGTTTTTGCCTCTCTCTGCATTGACTGTTGTCAGAGCAAATCAATCCACTAATATTTATGTCAATTATTTTTAATAGGTTCGATCCAAACATTAATTAAGTTGATACATATATTATGCAGACATAAGCATTCCTTGCATAACTTTTGATTGTATTGTGTGTATAGCAGCTAGTCTAAGATAACTATTATATAGAAGCTGTCAATTCCATTGAATTCAAAACAAAACATAATATGTGCATTAAAAATAATAATGATTGCAAAGCTAGTCAAATATTAGTCCCTTGTCTATGCACACACACATATACAGGATGACACATACATGGGGAAACATCAAAATAAATAATTAAGTATGTTCTATGTTTATATTCATTGTTCACTATTGTGTCTTTATAGCATCAATGTCTACATAAACCACTTTCTCTGAATTAAGAGCAACCGTAGGCTTAGATGAATTGACCTGTGACGACAACATGTTAAGATCAGCATAGACCACATGACCCGATGCTGTACGACGAAGTTGACTGATATCCGAGTACACTACTTTATCTGGATCAGAAGGAACAGACCCTGGGGGCTTACTGCTAGGAGCTATAGTCAAGTCAGCATAAAGGACTTTGTCCGGCGGTACTTCAGAATCAGAGGGATCACTAGAAGTGACTAGAGGCTGAGAGTCTGGATCAAGATTTATGGGTTGACCAGAGTCACTTAGCAGTACAGGAGGGAGAGCCGGGGGAGAGAGGGGAGGGGGAGAGAGAGGATTCACTGCTGAGACATCAGGTTTCTTGCGAGGCTTGTTGACCTTAGAGTAAAGTACTGGCTCTTTCTCATAGCCATTTGGAGTCTCAGAGGTAGAGATGTCTATCTCCTCATGATGATCAAAACGTTTGATACGAATAGATGATGAGCGAGAGGAGCCACCTCCTTTACCATTAATGAGGTTATCATTTGAATTGTAAGAAGTAAGGAGCTCATCTAATGTAGCATAAGGCTTTAACTAAGTCAGAAAAAGAGGGAAATGAATAATTAAAAACTAGTAAATAACTATACGTCCTAGTTGTACATGTACACAGGAAGCTAATCATATTTATGGCACTGCGTTCCAAAGAAGGGGAAAAGGAACAATAGAGAGATTATAGTTTACCTTTTCTGGACCATCGTTGAACTCTTCTAGTGTAAATGATGTGGCTTCTCCATTAACACTACATACAGTAGAATGAGGATGGACGGGTTGGGAGAAATACATACAAAAACAAAGGAAGATTATTATTGTGTTTACAGAAAACGAACAAACACAAAACAAGAAAGAGAAGGGGAGGAAAAGAAAAGACATGAGAGGTGAGAGAGAGAGAGAGAGACAAACAGTGAATGAGAAGAAGTTAACGTGTAAGGTGTATGACTCACTCATATTTGTAAGTTGCTCTATATTGTCCTGTTATGAAAGAGACAGAAAGAGTGCAAGACAAATTAAACGAATGATAGACAGGACATAATCAACACAAACTTACTATAGAAATAACAACCTGTAGCTGTAATCACCACAACTAGGATTATTAGAACCCCACCAACAATTAAACCACTCACAGCATACACCACTGTCCCTGAGTAGAGGACAAATGAATGAAGGTGTATCAATATTAATAACAAAATAATCACAACATACTGTCATTTTGAGAAGACACAGCTTGAGTATTCGAGGGTGATACAGTGATTGAACTACTTAGCTGGATGGTACTACTAGGCTGAATTACACTACCGGAGCTGGTAGCTTGTAATGTATTACTAATACTGCCAGTTGAGGATGAAACACCTACACAAATAGGATGAGGTAAAGGCATAGTGCAATGGAACCTATGTAAAGTGTCAATTTGTATAGGATTAACTCACTTGGGCTTATTGTGACGTTAACCTTTCCACTCTTTATAGAGCCAGCACCATTTGTAACAATACACTGATAACCTCCAGTGTACTGTTGGGTGAGGGATGAGATTGTGAGCTCAGAGTAAGTGGATTGTGTGATAACTGTGATATAAGGATCACTATTGGGGTCCAGTAATGAGTCATTGTGTTCCCACTTCACATCAATGGAGCTATCATAAGTTTCATATGTACAATTGATAATAACAGATCCCATGTTCTGATAATTTTGAATATAAACTGATGGAAGGCCTTTATATAGAAAAATAGAATAATGATACATTATGTTATCATGCTTACTCAACTGCTGTACATTAATAGTTACAGTAGTTTCCCTGGTTAATTCTTGCAAATCAATGTTAGCTGATCTACAAGTATAATTCCCACTAGCTGCGCTATCAATATCAATTATACTGAGATTCAGCGGAGGATTATTAATCACAGGAGTCAATTCACTACTGTCACTATCATTAACCCATACATAACGTGGCGTACCAGTATTACCAGGATTAGAACATGTTAATGTTACATTGGATCCTTCAATAACATTAATCAAGCCATTAGGTGATACAGTTGGATTAAGAAAAACTAATGAAAGAAATAATATGAATTTATTAATTTCAACTTACCAAAGTCACCAAAGGTAATAATGTGTTGACCAGCAGTTGATGATGAACAAGTAATAGTATCACCAACATTAACAACATCATCAGGATACTCAAGGCTCATGTACATAGTAATAGATGTACTTGATAAGTTGACATTACCACTAAAATCACCATCATTCAATACAGTGCTACCTTTCCTCCATACACCATCAGAGAATGTCGAAAAGTTTCCTTGATTATCCAAGAATCTACACTGAAGACATAATGGTTCCGTCAATGGCACATGCATAGTTCTGTCATTAAGAATAAAAACAGAAACAACGTCAGGAGGACACTGAGCTTGACAAAACCAGTCAGCATCTGAAAGAGAAGAGCAATAAAGTTTGTGGTCTCGCACGTTCTCTAATTACTTATCAAAAGGAGAGAAACCATCAGGAGACTCCTCACCCCTACTGGGGCCAGGCCACTGTGAAATCTGCAAGACATCTTATCTGTCTTTGTCTCTGATGTGTAAAATGACCTTGTTCTCTCGCCCTAAATTCGGAAAAATAAAAAATGAACAGAACATGAAAATGTAGCACTGTCTGTTTCTGCGCATGCTCAATAAAAGACTCTGCCACGTGCTCACTCTCTTCTCGACAAAAGGTAAGGACAAAATGGCACCCAATGGGTAATCATGAGGATATCATTACATTTCTTTTTCGCTTTACTTTCATGTGTAGGTGATAGAATAGTGTTAAGCTAAGAGATGCCTTTCGGTGGAGTTACAGTGAAGGATGTTGATCCCCACGAATTTGTTAGGCAACTAGCTGAATGGCTCAAATTGTAAGTAATTTGATCCAATTATATTTTTAAAACCCCTCTGTCTCTAAATGTGTAAACTGTATTATGTATGATTACACTCTCATCTTTTTTAGGAGTGGTAAGATTAAGCTGCCGTTGTATGTTGATTTTGTGAAGACTGGCCCACATAAAGAGCTGTCTCCATATGACAAAGACTGGTATTACATCCGGGCAGCAAGCATAGCTAGACACATCTACCTAAGGAAAGGAGTTGGCATTGGAGCACTTGCTAAAGTCTATGGAGGTGAAGTATTAGTGTTTGATGGGTGTGGTTGATTAGTTGTTGTTATGTTAGGTAAGCAGAGGAGGGGTGCTCGTCCTGGTGTGTATAGGAAGGCTAATACTGCCATCCTCCGTCATGTTGTCCAGAGCTTAGAGAAAATGAGAATACTTGATAAGGACTCCAACGGGTAAGAAAATGATGGAAGAGTTTGTCAGTCATTTTGTTTATAAATGTGACGGCTTTGCTTATGTTCCAGTGTTTTCATTGTTGCCTATATCCAGTGATAGTGATGGTTAAATTGTGGTAGTGATATTCCTATTGTTGGCTAATGATGTTTACCATGCTAATGCTGATGGGTGTGGTTATGTGGTTGCCATGGTAACTGCAAAGCGGCTCCTGTGTGAGAGTAAATGATATGACCTGAAGCCACTGATGTTGTGTAGTTAATGTTTATTTGGTTGTTTGTGCCTACAAGTGATTGTTTTGCTTTCTTGGTTTCGTTTTCATTTAGTGGGAGGAAGATTACGTCAGAAGGTCAAAAACATCTTGATCGTATTGCAGGACAAGTGAGTTATAATAACATGAAGAAATAATTACTATCATTCATCATTCTCTCTCTCTCTTGCCACAGGTATTATCCAACAAGAAATGAACTCATAAAATTTTGTTATTGTTAAAAAAAGTTTTAATCATTTGAATTAAAAAGTGCGATCAGAAATTAACTTGCTTTGTTTGACAAAGGTGACATCTGTGAATTGTAGTTTAATGCACAACACATTGCCTAGCTATTGTGCAGCTGGAGATACTGGCAGAGTATTAATTAATGTGATGCAGTGAGTGACTGCCAAAATGAATCTGAGGATGCTCTAAAATTTTGCAAATTGATAAGTGCACAATCTAACTCACTATTATTTTAGCTGTATTTAATACTGGTCCATTGATTGGGTTAAGCCAGATTTATAATGTGACACTAGTCCTGACATTACGTTGACATTGGAGTTGAATCTGGTTCAACTGCAGTGTAAAGCATGCATCAAAAGGTCAAATCTCCCCCACTTTTGATTAAAAATTGGCGGTACATTGGCCTAGCATCATATTGTAAATCCAGCTTTATTGTAATGAATCCAATACATTTTGATGGTATTATTTTGAATACAAACCCACTTGTACATAACATGAGGGCACCATGTATAATTATTGTAAATGATTTTACTGGATTTAAAAGTATTTTATACACAATCATAATTAACAATAGTAATCAAAATATAATAATAATTAGTGCTGATTTTTCAGTTATCTGCATAATACACACTTTCAAACAGACTTTTAATATATTTATTGTGTTCTTGTATGATTATTCAATTGTTCTTGATTGCAATTCCATTATTCTTCTCCCAAGGCTGGCATTGTGTTGCTGCAAGTACCTGATCATGTCAGCTTGTCTCTCTAACAATTCATCCAAATCTTCACCATCTCTGAGGAAACGAAAGGACATAACATAAATTCACTTTTAATTGAGTGTGACATGCTAATTTTAGTACCGTAGGGCACCTTTTTTTCGAGGGCTGTAAATTTTGCAAATTTATGCTGTCTGCCATCTTTAACCGTAATTATTTCAAGTAATTTTTGTGAATTTTCAAAAAATTGCAAAATCCGCAAAATTTACAGCCCTCAGAAAAAGGCACCCTATGGTATTATTTTGTATTGGGTTTGTCTTTACTACATGTATTTTTTTTAAATTTAGCTGCTATGAATTTGTGTCGCTATCATTTATGGTTTAGCTAAAGCACAAGATGCCACTCAAAGTTGATTGCTCTATTAATTCAATATTTTTCCTTCTCTTACCTGAATCCAACAGTAGTGAGGGTGGCTGTTGGTGAGTTTGCCATTGATGCTGTGTCCTGTATAACATCAGGTGGGGGACGACGAATATTAAACAAGACAGCTTGAACTAGAGAAAGAGAGAGGATGGATATTACAACCACATGATGGTCACATGACTTACTGATATATATCATTAAAGCTATTATTGATATGAACATCTCTATTCCAACAATAATGAACATAAAGTACTTGACTCTAAAGGAAGCTGATGAAGTTTGATCTACCCTATCCTTAACACTGAACAGATACAAAACTGAGACAAATATCAGAAGCACAGCAGTGCCTATAGAAAGGGATTAAGTCAATATTGCATCTATATTACCGTATAGCGCTTTAATTTTGCGGAGCTAAAATTTCGCAGATTGATAAAAATCAATTTTTTGCGGAAATAACTTTTGCGGATTCACAATATTAGTGCCACACCTTTAATGGCAATTGAAATTTTAGTGGATCTTTAATTTCGCAGTTTCATGCTAACCACAAAAATAGCGAAAGTTTAGCTCCTCAAAAATAAAGTGCTATATGGTATATGCATGTCAACAATATGTGTGCTAATAATATTTAATAATATTTTTAACGATAAGATTCTGGCTTTACCTAGTGACATCATGATGAATGGTATGCGTCTTAGGTTTTTCATCTTTCTGTAGAATTTAAGGTATCCTTTTCTCCTTATGATCTGGTGCTGCCACTGAATGATACGATCCAAAACAGCAATAGCCAGCCACAGTATTGCATGAGCCTGAAAGAAGCAAAAATAGATGAGACAAGAGAGAGAGAGAGAAACAGGGGAGGGGAAGAGAAAGAAGAGAGAGATAGACAAACAAGAGAAAGTAAATAAGAAGAAATAATAATAAAAATGCAGGTAAGAGTTTTTTTAAAGTCATTACCATGCACATGAATCCAATTAAGAATTTATCAAAGCAGTTCTTGTAGATGACAGGAAGGTGTGTTTGATTGGCACAATGATCACCAGCATTGCGATCAGAATTGACAAGACCAACAATTCCACCAACCAAATAAACCAACTAATAAAAGAAATAAAATTTTAATATGTACCAAAAATGTAAATTTTGGATGGGCTATAGCTATCAATAACTTTTGTTGGGTAACTTTTAGAGACGTTTTTTGAAATTTAAAACAGATGGCATCTCTATATAAAAGTAGATGGCATTACCTGGGTACCAGAAATGCCTTGTCTTATATCATTCTATGCTTTTTTTTAAATTACATTCAGAAATACATGTACATGTACATGTATCAAAAAGAATTGTTTGCTGAAATACTCATGTATTAAAATAATTGGATATTTTATGATTAATTTTTAAAGCTGCTCTATATGCTACTAGGCTAGTCAGCTCATGAAGCATGCTTTATTATTAGTAGAAACTTGAATTATAATTAAGATTACATGTACATTTATAATCAAAATGAGAACACTTACCAGTACTATAACTTCAAATATTGACAGGTATCCTGTTATGATGTGCGTGTGTCTGTGGAGTGTATCGTCATCTGCTGGCTGCTGTCTCACAAGTGGTGAGCGATCGGTAGCACTATCTGCATCATCCGAGTCTTCAAACATATAACCCTTTAAATATTGAGAGAGAGAAAAAAGATAGGAAGAGACAGAGAAGAAATAAACAAAAAAGTGAAGAGAAAAAAAATAGAAAAAAGACTAAAAGTACGTATGTGTGTTGAGAGAGAGGGGGAGACTATCTGTTCCTATTACTAATTCAACAGATGTCACATGATGTTCACAGACACACTATCTTAATAGAGAAATACAAGATGGGCCCTCAATAGGATCAATAGCTACACTGACAGACACCATGTACACTAGCATACAGACAATACATGGGTCTGAATGGGATTGTCATTCAAAATTTGAATACACAAAACAACCAAATTCAATTTTCAAAACCTACATGCAGCACATGTACATGGCAGTATAATGTATGTAATGGAGACAACAAAAATCAAAAATTTTATCTAACAGCAAATAACTGTCAGTAAAAGATTACGCATACAACGATAAAGCATAATAGTAGTACTTAAAATAGTGACTAAATATTTGATGTGATATCTCTCCATTCATATACCAATAGGATGAGTTATTACACAAAATAATATTTTATTTGTTCTATGATAGGTACAACTTATACAGTACTAACTACAAAGAGCTACTCTATCAATCTTGGACACCATTCCAAATTTCCATTACCAATTGTTACAACTAAATCATACTTCACCTCAATATACTTAGGCTTCTTCTTAATAGGGTAGAGCTCAGAACAAAAGTTGCACCAATTTTTCTTGTTGTTGGTAAACTCATCGGACAGATCTGCAATTGTCTTTTTATTACGCTGTTTGGAAGGACTGGTAAAGTATTCCATGTGGCTCATAACTCTCGACTACTTGACTGGTAACTCACAACTAATAGGCAGTTCATTATATGCAATGTCCCTGTTACTATTAATAGGAACAGTGGGAGGAGCTTGACTCTTACACACATACATTCTATTCTTAATTCCATTTAATGGTATGTATTGCGGGTATTTTGAGTTTATAGTGAGTTTAAGAGATGTAGAGGTAGACTTACTCCACTGTTGTTTCCATCTCCGTTGACTAGACTGACCATTTTGAGTCCAAAATGCCGATGCTTTCAGTCGAGCTTTCAGTTTTCCAAGTCACACCTCATTGCTTAATTAAAAGTTATTAAACCTCTTCAGGGCGTGGTCAAACTTATTAAATTTTATGATTTATCATTATGATTTTATCATAGATAGATCTATTAGAGGAGATGATAGTATAGTTAATTTTAATTTTTAGAGTAATTATATATTACCTTATCTTATCAATATCATCTTATCAAACTATTATTATGAACACATTGTTGTATTTTTACATAGAGTTAGAGTAGGCTGTAAGCATGATAGCTCATTGATTAAGTTATCACGAGTTGCCATAGCTATTTCATATTACTTGAGTTTCAATTACAGCATTTCTGGGGTTACGTACACTACCAAATCAGGAATCAAAGACTGGACCCCAGTACGTCAAGTCAGACGAGGTCATACTAGACGTACTTCTCGTTCTCACAGTCCGCAATCCGGTGATTCTGATTCTGACACCGAAAGTCTAATGGATATCCCTCCTTCTTCTAGTGTTCATTACTCAGTTCGTGATGGTCAACCAGGTCTGTTTTTGGCTACTCCTAGGATTAGAATGTGGACTCCCATAGCTGCCCGGACTCGTCTTAAAACTAAACAAGCTTCATAGTTATACATGTATTATATATAGTTAGTTTCTTAAGGCTCTGCCACAAGTTGGTATGTGTCCTTCAGGCTCACCCTTTTAATTATAGTCTTTCATGTTTCTTTGTGTCATTGTGTGTCTGTAGAGTCTGTAAAGTTTTAATAATAATAATAATAATAATAATAAATAATAATACTGTAACCCATTAAATTGTGATCCATAAACTTTTGGCCTAATTTTACCTCAGTTCAGTGTAAAAACTGTTAAAATTATTGAATGCTGATATACTTATCATTGTAAGAATGTTAAACAAAAAGTTTTAAAATTATTTGGGTTCACAGTTTTCTTTCAGTATGTCCTTTTTGTCTGTTTTCTATTTGTTGTTTTTGTTTAACTGTATTTTTGTAAATTTTTACCGAGTGTAAAAATGGAGTTTAATTTAGCTGCAAGTTAGACTTCAATGCTGAGTTATTTGGAGCTAACCATTGCAAGCTAATGGATTTTGTGCATCTGATCTCACTTACCCAGTCCAATGATAACAGACCCTAAACCCTAAACTATCAAGTTGGACCAGTTCTGCATTGGGTGGGGCGCATGAAAGATTATGAGCAAAGAAATGTACAGGAAAATATGGGTTATCACCTTTCTCCTTATTATGTTTCTCTCTGTTACGGTTCTATTTAGCTGCTTTAGAAACAGACCTGCTCGTTCACAAATGGTAGCTGTGACCAGAAGCAGGCAAAACAAGCCGCTGGGCCCCCGCACTAATTGGTCCGGACTGTCCTTGGAATGTTCTTCTTGGCCTCTCAATGACACCTTTCACTACAATTCTCCAGTTGAGAAACAATTCCCAATCGCTTATGTGGTACTCATTCACCACCAAAAGTCAATATCTGCAGTGAGGCAGTACATGCGTCTACTGAAACATCTTTATAGGCCACAGAACTTGATCTGTCTACATATTGATCGAAAAGCTCCTCAAAAATGGATAAAAGCAATAAAGAAATTTGCAAGGACTTGCTATCCAAAGAACATCATCATGCCAAAAAAGTCCGCCAAAGTTGTTTATGCATCCCCCTCTACTCTCAATGCGCACCTGGTTTGTCTGAAGGAGCTGCTCCAATACAACCACACTTGGAGATATGTAATTGATCTGCATGGAACTGAACTACCCCTTGTTACAAACAGAGACATAGTCGAGGCTTTCAAAAAAGCAAATGGAGTCAATATCGTCCCATTTGGTACTGACATTGATAGTATTGGCAATTCTACATTCACTCACAAGCAAATTACTCATAAAGCAATCGTCTCGATAGTTACCAACAAAATAAAAATCACTGATAGAAGTTTGAGTTTGGTCCCTTACAATTTGACATTATATAAAAGTGCAGATGGACCTACAAGTGCTTTTTCTAGAGATTTTGTGAAATTTATATTCTCGTCTCCTAAAGCTATAGCTCTACGAAAGTATTTACAAGACGTCATGAGTGCTGAGGAGTACTTCTTCAGTACACTCAACAACCTTCCAGAGGCACCAGGTGGCTGGCTCAAACGGAAACAATTAAATTTTGAACTTCCGAAAGTTTCAACAAGGGTATTTCAACAGAATAATAATAATCCTAAAATATGCAGGGCTAAACACTACAGGCATAACATATGTGTGGTTAGCACTAGTGATATCAACTGGCTAGAGCAGAGATCAGAAGCTAGGTCACAATTCTTTCACAATAAATACATTAGTAGCTACAATAAGGGGATCATGGATTATATAGAAAGAAACCTTGTTTTCCGAAATGAAAATGAAGAAATCAATGACTATTTATCTGTATTATCATAATTTTAGTGTTTTATGAATAATAATAATTTGTCATATTAGTAACAATAAGTGATAAGGAGTGCTAATGATGGCAATCATCATGATAGTGTGAACAACAGAGTATTGCTAGCATCTGTTTCGACTTGAGATGACTGTGACATTTATAATAAATTTAACCACAGCGCTATCATAGTACCTTAAATCCAATGGCCAAAGCCATTTGTATTACTTTCTTAAGATATTCATCTTTATTCTCTTTTCTCAAATCAAGTATGAATCTATGAGCATGACTAAAATTCAATATTATAAAATCTAATGTACCTAGCCGTTTCACATATCAGTAAGCATCTTTCATTCATTACTCTGTCCAGTCCATTGACAGATGTTAGATGATGTATCATACTGAAATAAAAAAAATGATATAGCTAGCCTATGTCTTTGTGCTCAAGTATGGTACATGTACTCTTAAGATAGTCTGGGGCTGATCACCAGACTACACTTAAGAGGTTTAATAGATCAAATTATGAGGCACTGATAATTAACATACCTGTTTGAGAAAAAGGCACAGTGGAATAATTTCTCATATTTCGATTTCTTTCCCAGTTCTGTTGCTGAATTAAGTGGTAGCAATGTGACTCTAACTGAACCTACAAGACAATGAAGACATTATTAATGATCAATACAGTCTTGCATAGCCAGTCTGTAGGGCTTAGGTCTGGTTTCCATATAGCCATACAACAGCCTTACAACACAGTTGCAACAATCATGGAGATAGAATGCTAACAACAGAATCAATACAAGAGCTGCAACTACCGGTATATGGAAACCAGGTGTTTGTAGTTGTAAGGTGTTAGGCTACCTTTACACAGCAACAAAAGGGATAAAACCTGATAGAATCTTGATAGAACTCTATCAAAACAAAGGTGTTCAAAGTGTATCTTTTGCCTTGCTGTGTAAACCCAGCTTATACAAAATTCAATTATGCGTACCATCAATCAAACGACCAATAGTGTCATTAGTTATTTCTTCAATGCCTGAGTCAGGATTAGAGGAAGAAGAGCTGGTTCCAGTCAAAAGTAATTCTAGCATAGAGTATACATTATGTTGACTAATCTCCTGAGAGCTCTGATAGAGAAGAAAGATAAGGAAAGATATAAAATTAATTATCTAGTGACACATTTACTTTCACGTATTTATCATTTGCTTTCTTCAACATCCTCTCATCATCACAATAGCTTCCAAATGCAATGAAGGGACTGGTCACAATGTCTCCCCAATATCCACGTTGACCAACAAGATCTCCATCTCTATTGTGAAGGAGAGCGCCATTAGCAAGCATACGGTTACTGATGTCGTAAGGAGCATCATCACGCAGGTGAAAGGCTACTCCATCCTCTCTCCATTGTATATACTCATCATTGCATATCAATGGGACCTATTTGGGAATTGGGCAGTGCAGTAAGTTGTATGATTGTATAATGTTTAGTACCATTTCTTGAAGCTTCATGTGATAGTCCCAATCAAAAACTCCTCTGCGTGAGTCGTACCTTTGTGCAAGATGATGCCTTAGCCTTTTGTCCCTATACACATAAATGGAGCACAATTAAAAAAAAAACATTGAAATTGTTTATGTTGATGCAGTATTGATTTTTGTGGTGTTTTTGTGATTTCAACCTTGAATAAAATAAATTATCCCAAGCCAGGTTTATATTATAGTTACACAAGATAGAGTATTCTTGCGTACCATCCAATACATCAATAAAGTCAAAACAACCATCAATTAATACACTTTTACATAAGATGTAATGATTACTGTTTTTGTGTAGTCAATGATACCAAGAGTACATAATAATGGTAATATTAGAGTTTAGTATTATGTACTCTTGATGATACCAGATTTACCAACCAATGCTTTTCTATTGTAAATGTCTTTTCATCTGGGTTTTGCCAAAACTTGAATATACCTTCTAACATGTCTCTTTCCTTGAACTAAGTAAAATGAAAATAAGGAAACACAATTATAAAGTTTACCTTCAAACTACTGAGATCAAGAAAGGGGATTAACTTGTTAGAGGGATCAGTTACAAACCTAAACAATTCAATAACAATAATACAATATAACACAATGTTACCAATGCACATTTTAACCTAGCAGAAATAAGAAACCAATAAGCTTAGTAAATGCAGTCATTATTATCAACTATCAATGTTGTTGGAGTAAAATACTTTGAAAGAACTTTAAAGTAATTAAAGTTTTAAAAAGAGCACAATTGCTTAACCAGTCCCTTGCTTGCCAAAAACAGAATGCAAGGTCAACTTCTATAATCTATATCTAATAAACATAAACAAGGAAATCCATACAGTGTAATCTACTAAATGTTCCGATATCTTATGGACTGAACTATTATGCCACAAAATATACACACAGGCACTATGACATTAGTCTTGCATAGCCAGACTCCTCCCCTTTTTGACATTGGGCACCCCAACGTCAAAAATGGGAGGAGTCTGGCTATGCAAGACTACTATGACATTGCTTCAAATGCACAAGAAATATCAATTTTCTGTGTCTTAAAAAGTACAAATTATTCATGCTGCAAAAATTTTATAGTATCAAAAACAAAAAATAAAATTAACACCTTAGCAAAATTAATCCCCTCCTAAAATTAAACCAAAAAATAAAATTACTGTATATCCTTAAATAATAGCCAGATATGAATAAATGCAGGGGTAGCAATAAAATTCAATTATAAATATGCAAATCTACTAATCTAGCCTTAACATAATGTACTAAAGATGCCTTGTAGATCCTTAGTTTCCTTAACTCATTTGCGTGAAGTCACAGGTTTAAATTTTCTGTGACACAAGTGACAAGTACATGTATTATTTTATTTAAAAAATTTATTTCGAGGTCCAAATACCATTTTAAGAAATAGACGCCCAGCCTGCTTTTATTTAAGGAAATACGGTTAGTACTTTTGAGCTGTTGTAGGGTTAGACCTGGGATGTAACCAGAGTTCCCCCCCCAAGGCATGCTCAGTGAGCTAAAAAGCATAATACAATCAAAATTTACATGTACATGGCTTTTAGAGGACAATTTTTCTGAATCAGCTCAAACTTGCCACACAACATAAGAACATGTACATGTATATGTATGAATAATGGAGAAGTCTTTTCTAGTAATTTTTAGCAAAATTTGTCCAAAGGGGCTTTGGTCTAATTTTTAATTAACTTTAAAAATTTAATTTTAAAACTTGCTACAACATAGAACATGATACCGGTATGTATCAGAAAAATTGCAAAATATAAAATTTTCTGCTTGTCATTTTTGGTAAAATTTCGCCAAAGACAGTAGATTAAAAATTTCAATTAAACTTGGTTAACTTGCTACACAACATACATGTAAGAGCATGTACAGATGTATATGCATCGGGCAAAATATAAAAATGGAAAATTTCAATCGTAGCCATTTTTAGTAAAAATTGGCCAAAGACCATAGTACAGGGTCTTTGGCATAATTTCAGAGCAACTTTTAAAATTTGTAAAAAAATTAATTTTGATTGGAATCAGTCAAAATTTTTATACAGGACATGAACATTTACATGTATATGCATTAGAAAAAAACTATTATTAAAAATTCTATTCTAGCAGTTCTTGAAAATTAACTTATATAGTACATGCATATACATGTACATAGCATTTTGTCAAATTTCAAAGAAACTTTAAAATCCACTGACAAGAACACTATGCCAAAATCCTGTCAGAAACCTTGGGTATAATTTCACAATAATTATTATTACCATGAGTGTAGCTAGCATTATGTCAACCCATCCCTGATTCAGTTACAGTTCTCTAATTGTTTTACCTAATAAGATCATCAGCTTTCTCCTTCAAGTACTGAGCAGTTTGAGCTCTTACTAAAGTATTACCAAAAAGTTCAAGAAACAGTTCAGTCTTTTCTATGTAAAAATAGAAAAGTAAGAATCCACAGTACTGGTACCTCAGAAACTAAAAATAATTTCCCATTAATACCTCTTATTCCTATCTTGTCACTCGGCTCACACAGCAGGCTAAAAAACAATATGTGTCTTGCTAAAACTTCCAGGTGGCTCTCAATAACATAAAACTAAAAAGAAACAGTATGGCATGCAATTGATACTACTTAATCAGTTTATTGTTATGCAGACCCCAATACTTGCATTAATTTTACATTACTCTCATTATCCACCAGGCACATTACCCTATCACAATAATTTAATAGAGGATATGCGTACTAAGTATATTTATTGCAAAATAAATGTATTTATTGCGTACCGTAATAACTTTCAAGATAAAATTAACTCTTTGGACGTCAGTTTGCCAATGGCAGCAACAGAGAAACAATAGAAAAAGCATCTGTTCCAGGAACTCGCTCTGTACTTCTTGATAGCAATCTTTCAGGTGACTACTAGACCCCATTAGATCCTCAGGATGCTTTCTAAGCTTCCAAAAAAGGCCACAAAAAAAACTCTTAATAAACTTGACATCCAACATGGTGGCCAATTTACTGTGGAGGTTGGATAAACGGCACTTAAAAGTTATGAATATACTTAGCACACATACCCTCTATTGCTCACCTAATCAGCCCCACCAGTGACATGGGAAACAATGAAATAATAAGTTATCGTGTTGCATTGTACTTAGTGCAAATATTATGTACGTACGTGAAGTGATTTTTTAGGATTATTAGTCACAGTTCTCAAAACATGTCTGATGTCACCTGCTCCTACTAGAAGTACATTAACAGTGCTGTCACAATCAAGGTCTGCAAAATATAAATTTCAAACCTAATAATTATCATAAAATTATTAACTTATTTTTCCATGGGGAAACAAAGAAATTAAGTCAAGTGCAGGAGTAAGGCCCCACCAAGTCACAGATCCAAATCCTTCAGCCATGACAGTGGGCGATACCAGATTAAGTAATTTTAATTTATAAAACCATAGATATTAATGTGCTATTATTCATCGATTAACGTATAACAATGGGCAGAAGCTAATGAATAAATTTAGTGTATTCATAACGCAAGTATTGCTCGTGCTTGGCATGTGCTATGCCCGTGTGCTCTATTGTTGCTCTGCGACCTTTTTGCACTTTGCTGCAACTAGTTTTACCAGTAACAAACTGGTTTGCTCTCTTTTCATGACTTCATCCTCTACGGCCACATGCAATCACGCTACAATTGTTCCAATGCATCCAAATAGTGTAAAAAGGGTTTCTAATACTGAAAAGGGACCTTCAGGGTAATGAAAAACCCTTACTGACATGGTCCTATAAGGCAAGTACTAATGATATGCACGCCCACAACCGATGCCAATATATAATTGATGATACCACCCGTTCTAAGGTCAAAATCCCACAAGCCGGCTCGCGATACTGTGACAAGATGACTTTCTGTCTAGGTCTATCAGAGAGAAGAAACTCTCAAAATTACATCAATGGAATCAGACTTCCTTCTTTTATAGAGAAAAAGATGCTAGAGGACCTGGTGGATTTTCCACTGCAGGAAGATGACCTTTTTGTGGTGACTTACCCGAAGTCAGGCACTGTCTGGACACTTCATTTGACGACTCTCATAAGAAATACAAGCAACGCAGCGCGGTCTGAGCATCTGGTAGAGCAGTCGATGGTTTGGCTTGAACGTGAAGGAAAGGAGGCTGGATTGGTGAGCAATTAACTTTTTCGCATAAACGCATGCGAAACTGAAGTTTCGGCGCGAAATCCAAGTTTGATTCAGTTTTCTGTTTCATTTGTAGGCACTGCCATCTCCTCGTAGATTTGCAAGTCACTTGCCTTATCACATGGTGCCAGGCGGTGCACCCGCCAGATCCCTTGCTAAATACATTTATGTTGCACGAAACCCTAAAGACGTTGCTGTCTCTTTCTACTATCATTTGTTACGCATGAAAAGCATTGGAAACTTAGAATGGGATGAGTTTTTCGAAATGTTCATTAGTGGAAGAACAATGTTTGGACCTTGGTTTGATCATGTGCTTGAGTGGTGGCAGAATAAAGGTCAGACAATTACGTACATCATGATGGTAATGAAAATAAAAATGAACCTTCTCACTACTATGAAATCCAAAATTTGAAAATTTTGTCGGGGAAATGAAGTGTTATACTGTATAACTCTTGTTATACATGTATGCAGGGATAAGAGAGAGCAGGTAGGAATTGCACTCATCTTAATTTGTGCAAGAAGTTATGTACGTGTGTAACAAGACCAAAGTTTCCATGCTGCAAGCACAGGCATTTCTGTACACAGACTATGCATGCATGTAATATCAGACTCAAGACATGCGTGTTGTGCCTTTCTACTTTTTCTATTTCAAGATGCAGACTTTAGTATAAGTAATACAAACCCATATGTAATTACTGGTCATTCGTAACAATAACATTGTGATCTCATTTTATTGTTTTTTTTTCTTCTAATAATATTCATGTATGCAGATGCTGAAAACATTCTGTTCCTAAGGTATGAGGACATGAAGAGGGATCTCCCAGGGGCAGTGAGGAGTATATCACAGTTCATGGGATATGATCTTGATCAGGCTACAATAGAGAGTATTGCTGAACAAAGCTCATTTGAAAACATGAAGGCAAATCCAATGGCTAACCCTGACAATTCAAAGTACGCTAATCATTTTAAAGAGGATGCAGGTTCGTTCATGCGCAAAGGAGTTATAGGCGACTGGAAGAATCATTTCTCTGAAGAGCAATCGGCCCGATTTGACGCGGAGTTTGCCCGGAGAATGGCTGGCAGTGGTCTGGAACTAGCTAGTTACTGAACTTATCACGGGCCAAGACTTGCATAAACAGCTGTAGCTAATTTTGTTAGCGTATTTTCATGCGTTTTATCAATTATCTATATATTTTTTCAGTGTTATTATAGGTGTATAAAGTAACACCTAGGTTATTAATTTTAATTACTTGTTTTTGTTTTTTCCTGTTAGGTATTTCTATGTCCACAGTTATCATGGGCATGAAGAATGTCATTTTATAATCAGGATTTTAATTAATAAAAATTTTGACCTGCAATTTGTTGTTGTAATGGTGTAATCACAATAGTCGCCTTTTGGCATTACCAGCATTCCACTTCCTAGCCTTACTACTGACACATGAAATCCTTCCATAGTGACAATTGCATAGCACTATCTTACAAAAATGACATCAATACACACTTTCTCCCTGCATGATTGTACACAAAGCACAAACAATAGACAAGAGTCATTGAGCTCATGAATGTCCAAATAAATATTCAAAAAAGGCCATAATTGCATGTACATGTACAGCTGAACCTTGGCTTCGATTGTAATAATAATAACACCATAGATTGGACAACACACACACACATCTTGCTAGAAAATATGAAACGACTAGATATTAATTATTTATAATACAGTATCTAATAACTGTCTCTCTTTATGATGTAGCTGCTAATTGCTTTCCTAAATACTCCCTATATATTAAAAAGAAAAGAATAAAATTTAAAAAATGGTAAAAATAACTCACCAATTCTGGACCATCATTTTCTGTATGGATAGCAGTGCCTGCATCCTAACCTCAGTGTTGCCATGATTGACCAGACCCATGACTAACTCCTTTGCACCCAATTTATCAATGACACTATTGAGAGAAACAAGAAGGGTTGGTAGTCAGTGCTTAGTGGCTTAATTAAGCTAAATAACATGTATATTCTGGGCAAAAGCATTAAAAGATTCATGTTACTAATAGAAGCGATCATTCTGGTGGATATAGTTAAATAACTAAATGTAAATACAGCTCTACGTATGCATGTACTAGAGCTGGGCGATAGTGATAAATCACTATCACGATATTTGCCTCAATTACTATCCCGATAGTGAAACTATCACGATATAATAGCTTTTATATGTTTAGTTTATTAATTTTAAATTAAAATGATGCAACTCAACAATGCAATAAATGTAGCATATTGTTATGTACGCATTATTGCTTGATGCATTGTTTAACTAGTAAGCATAATCATTGTTCATTTACAACATGCCCAAGCTCTACCAAATATCACTCTTAAATTGCTACCATTGCCATGACTATAACACTTAATGGCTAAAAATGTGGTTATAGCACAGAGCATGCCTAGACTGGCTGGCTAGATCCACTATCACGATAGCTTCTATACTATCGCGATAGTGAATATATTCGAAACTATCGCCCAGCTCTAGCATGTACACATGTATCCATTGCAGCAAACAATCATTATGAGCTATATAATATTGGCTAGAACTGAGCTATACAAATAGACTCTCTGTCGCCAAGAGGCTATTGTCATGTTATAGTAGCGTGTTAATAAGCTAGCCAGTCAGAGTAGGCATGCTTAGTACTACAACCATACAACCACATTTTTAGTTACTATTGCAATGGTAGCAGAGCCAGAGAGAAGCAAGAAAGATACTTGGTAGAGCTTTGCAGGGAAGTTCGTCATGTTGTAAATAAAAAATGATTATGATTAGTAGTTATTAACAACACACAAAGCTACAATACATGTATGTACAAATAATACTTATTAATATGCTCTTGTGTTGTTGAGTTCTGTTATTAATGTGAATTACATGTAAGTGCTAACACATGAAAGCTATAATATCATGATCGTTTCTATTGCAATAGTATTGTGGCAAATATTGCGATAGTGATTCAAGTACTATCTTGGCCACCTCTATTATATTATGCAACACATCTATTGAGTATCGACGCAAATTCTTCTTGTTTGCCAAAAACAGTTGTACATAGCGAGTTATAACTAGTACACTAGCTGCATTAACTCTACAGCAGTCTATTATTAGCTATTGACCACAGATACAGTGTAGTCAGGGACTTAAAATATCATAAATGGTCATTCTGAAATATTTCGGTTTTGGCATGTTGACAAGAGATGTGTTTGTGTGTACTTTTTTCCACGAGGATAATAACGGACATATTCTCCCAGGTCATGTGAAGCAACAGCCATAGCAGTTGGATTCGACGACTCCTTCAAAATGCCAATCAAACATCTTAGTAAGTGATAGTTATTATCATTGAGCTTCATGACATTCTCTCTCTAATGGAAAACAAAAAATATATACTTCCTCTCCTACAAATTTTCTTATCTTGCTCTCAATTACCACTTCCCACCCACCTTTTCCCTCCCCCTCCCCTTTCTTCCAATCCTCCAATTTCTTTTCCTTCCTCCTCTCTCTCTCTCTCTCTCTTGACTGACCCAAAATTTGTCCGACTTGTGAACTGGGCTCCATTCCAACCTGCGAGACTCAACTTCAGTGGAATACTCATCAAATGAACTAAAGAAAGGAGAAGAGGCAGAGAAAAAAAATGAAAAAAATATAAAAAGATAAAGGTAAAGCTGTGTTGTTCAAACCTCAGATCCTGTAGTGAGATCTTTAATTTCTCCTGCAAAAATTTAACGTCGTCTTCAAAATCATCATCATCCAGTGACCTCCCCTCCAGTATAGTCAATACCTTTAAGAAATAAAAAAATAAAAGTGAATCAATAAAAGGTCTTTCAAACCTGAACTGCCTTGAAATGAATCATCTCGGCTGCATATTTATCAGCTGTTTCAGGATCAGATTTCTCAATTAGATTCTAAATTATAATATAAACATAGCATTATAGTCCCTGAAACCCACTCACCCTGAAAGTGGCTAGTATAATTCTCTGTACTTTTGGACGACTTGAGGTTTTTAGAACATCACTCAAAACAATAGCTACAGGAAACCTACAAGCAAGTCCAAAATATAAAAAAAGCATGCTTCATATGAGTTAAAATTTTCACCGGGTTTTAATTTGAGCATAAAAAGGAATACCGTATAGCGCTTTAATTTAGCGGAGCTAAAATTTCGCAGATTGATAAAAATTAATTTTTTTTGCGGAAATAATTTTTGCGGATTTGCAATGTTAGTGCCACACCTTTAATGGCAATTGAAATTTTAGCAGATCTTTAATTTTGCAGTTTCATGCTAACCGCAAAAATAGCGAAAGCTTAGCTCCTCGAAAATAAAATGCTATACGGTAAAACAGACCATGTACATGTAAACATAAACAATTAATATTAGCAAAATAATTATAAGTTAGACATACATGTAATTGAATTGGGGCTATATTTCAATTTACAACAAAATACATGTGCATTCCTCTCTGTCTCTCTTCTTCTTACTCTTTCATTCTTGAGACAATGTACTCCTCAAACGAGAGCATCCACAGACTAAATATCAACTCGTATTGCAATTGGAAATTAATGCGATGATCCAGTAGATCAAGAATACTGTACAAAAAATATTGCACATAATTTACACATCAATGTGAGGTTGAAATACTGCATGTACAAAATATTACAAAATAGCAACATACACATCTAACTACATGTACATGTACATGTACTATTGTTACAAGTATTAATATTTTTACAAGTAGGAATTTTAGAAAGAGGTAACAAGTTCAGGGTTTCCACAAAGCATGCTAAGTGAGTTAAACGGAATGCTTCATGAGCTGATAAGCACTACAATACAGTACTTGGCACTTAGAGAAACTTTTAAAATTCACAAAAAATCCAATTTTGATTGCAATCAGCTTAAAGTTGATACACAAAATAAGGGCACATAAATAAACATACCAGAAAAAACTATTAAAATGGTGAATTCTTTTCTAGCCGTTTTTGATGAAATTCGGCCAATAATCAAAGGCTACATAGCCTCTGGTTGTTGGCCCAATTTTTAAGCAACTTTAAAAATTTATAAAAAATCCAAAATTGATCAGAATCAGCTCCATGTTGATATTGCAAAATTTTGCAAAACCAAGCCCCCTTTAGGCTGTGACTATGTTTACTTTCAACATGGCAAAATTCCTGAATGACAATAAGCAACATCAATATCTAATAAAAGGACTTAGCTAGCCTGGTTCTTCACTATAAGCTTTCTTTACTACACGTATGTAAGCTGTAAAACAGTTTTCTTTCCCAAAGCAGCTTATTAGTCTATCTACTTAGGGTTTTATTTTGATTTAAAAATGGGGATATCCCACTTGCTACCCCTGGCTATGCCTGTGTAGCTGCATTGGGCAATTTGTATTTTCATTGTGATAAAATACATTTAATTTACAAATTAGATTTCTAATCTTAGGGCCTAGTACATTAGTTAAGTTTATTTTTTCTCATCACATGGCAATGAAAAATCTCATACACGTACATGTAAGTGTAGCTATGACATACATTATATAAATATTAATACATGTAAAGTTTGTAAACATCATGTACATGTATGTTACTTACGGCTTAATGCCATGAGCTTCAAAAAATGGCACCCGGTACACCTGTCTTCTTAGGAATGACATTAGAGCTTTAGTAATGCACTCCAAATACTCATTCTACATTTAGACACACTGAGCCATGTTACTATTAATAGAAGGACTTACGCCTGCTTTTAGTTGTGATGTGATCCAACTGATAAGCTGTGTGAGTTGATCTCCCTCCATTGGGTCAGGAGAGAAAGCAATTATACGAGTTATACACAAACAAGCCTAAAGGAAGATAGGGAGATGGAGAGAGAGATAAAATGATAATAGGCTAGCAATACCTGACTCTGGCAAAATAAATCATGTCTACCAAGAATAGCAACTAACAATGGAGTCAGCTCATGACTAAAAGTGAAAGAGAGAGAGAGAGAGAGAGAGAGAGAGAGAGAGAGAGAGAGAGAGAGAGAGAGAGAGAGAGATACATGTACATGTAAATACAAGCACCAACAGTAGAAACTAAATCCTACCCATTATGTTTTTTCACCAACAGTGCTGTAGTGTCATGATCCTATTAATATAAAGAATATTTGATAATACAATTATCACTGCTAGTATGAACATGTACATGTACCTCAGTGATATCCACCAGCAATGTTAAAATAAACTGCAGAGGTTCCGAAGATCTGAAGTTAGACAATATCGACCTGAAGAGCTCAACACACTAGGTAAAGGACATGAAGTTATTCTATTGGAGTGTATTAGGTTACCAGTCCTGCTTGCTGCCGTACAGCAAATGACTTCTCTTCTTTTGACACTCCTGGAATTATTAAACTGTTTCCAAACTTTGCAGCTTGAGGAGATATTTGACGATTCCTAAATGTACATGAGATTGGTAGTAGAAAAGTGACATAAAATATTATACTCACTTAGAATAGTCTTTAAAAGAGAAGTCCCTCTTTCTGACTTCCCTTGTGACTGAAGCAGCTTTAGAGGTACCTCTAGCTATGAAGAGTGAGTGAGTGAGAGAAAAATATAATATAAATTGAATGGGGTAACACAATACAATGATATAAATGATCTGATTCACACTATTGAATGAATGAAAGAGACAATAACCATACAAAATGTTAACAAATGTCATGTGAACTTATGATCTACGGAAAAAATTATACAGTATAATAATAATAATAATATATGTACATACATACATACAGAGGTTATTCCTCTATACACAGTGGTGTGGGTAGGCAAAGGGACAAATGAGCTTATAACCAACTACTGTCTCATCATAAAGAGGAGTAGAGGGCATGTTGTAAACATGAGCTCTATGGCATACGACGTGCAGGGCGCACAACTCCCTTCTCTCACTGTCTTACCATTGGTAGTTTGTGCATCGTCATCCCCTACCGTCTCTATCACCATGTCAAGCTTCTGGTAAGTTGCCATATCTGCTCAGATCCCTCCTCTAGAATCAGCCTCTCTCTTGGTATAGTAATTAATTTGGATCACGTGAGTGTCACTGTCACGTTAAAGTCACGATACCGTAAACGTAAAAATTTTCGTGGCGGATAAATTTTCGTTTTTTTCGTGGGCCGCACAGATCCACGAAATTTTAATGCAAGGGTGTGGTGGTTAATTTAATAGGCCATGTGACAGCCACACATACTGACCATGAATATTACTCGTCTCTCTTTCACACTTCAGCATCTCTGCTTCCCAGATCTCCTTATATACATGGTAACCCCTGATAACTGAAAAGATAGTGAAGATACACATGAGGTAGGCATCTCTGCAGGTGTCGCAATGTCGCCACGTGGTCAATAAATTAATAAGATTGGGTAACGCCTACCACGAAATTTTTAATGCACGAAAATTAGTTTTTATGAAAAAATTCCAAAAAATACGAAAATTTACACCACGAAAATTTTTACGTTTACGGTATTAACTTTATTCGATTCATTGAGCATGCATGACGACATTGGAGCTAATTAGTTTTTAGTTTCTGAGTGGTCTCCCCATTATGCAGATAAAAGAGTTCTGCCTTTTCTTTTTCTTGCCATTAATTGTGTCATGCATTAAAGACCTTACTTCTATTTACCCATTTAATGTAGCACTGGATCAGGATAACTACTGGCTCTATTGGAACTTCAGTAAGACAAGTGAAGTCATTAAATTTGCAGTCAAAGTACAAACTACTGGATGGATTGGGTTTGGACTCTCATCAAATGGACAAATGCCAGGGTCTGATGTAGTTATTGGATGGGTAGATGGTTCAAGCAAATATTTCCATGTAACATATCAACATCTGCAATACTAATACGTATGTTTTCTTACAGGATAGGTATGCTTATGGGAGATACACTCCACCTATTGATCCAATACAGAACTGGTTCCTAACTAATGCTGAGGTAGAGGATGGATATACTGTCCTGGAGTTTTATCGCAACTTTATCACCTGCGATGATTGTGATCTAGACATACTTGTAAGAATCACTGAATATCATATTAATCTTTCATATTCACATCATGCATGAAGTATGAAACGGCTCATGTAGTATACAGTTGGAGCAATAAGAAACCAACAGTCACAAAAGAAGCAGATGGCTCCATAACTTATACAATATCAAAGCATAACAATCAAGGCACAAGAAGCTTCAATCTTCTTGGGGCATTACCAAATCCTCCTAGAATACCTGACAATACCCAATCCTTTACTGTATCTGCAAGTCAGGTACCACTTTACAGTTAATAGCTTCACTCATACCAATGTGATACTATGCAGGTAGATGTACCAAGTGTAACCACTACTTACTGGTGTGAAGCTATGAAACTTTCTCCTGCCCTCACTTACAATATGAAATACATCATTAAAGTACATGAATGATTTGTTTTGCTTCAGCTTGAACTTTTTCATTTTAGTTTTCTCCTCATATCACTCCTGGGAATGAGCCATTTGTCCATCATATCGTCATTTATTTATGTGATGGTCTTTATGAATCAGATCTTGGTGCTGAAGGATCAGGAGAGTGCTATGGGGGTGTTAGTGATCGTGTTGCTGACTGTGCAATCCCATTTGCTGTATGGGGAGTAGGAGGAAGTGTAAGTATTAATAATTTATTTTCAATATATTTTTTTATTTTTTGATGTAGGATTTTACTTTTCCTAGTAACATTGCTTATCCCATTGGAGGAGCTAAAAGTCCTCATTATGCAGTCATTCAGTTACACTACAATAATCCGGATCACATCTCAGGTTAGATTAGTTAATTTATTTAAATATTCTATCTCCTCTCTCAGGTATTGTTGATAGCTCAGGCATTGAGTTCACATACATTGACACTCCAAGAGAATATAATGCTGGAGTGATGACTGTTGGTCACATTAATGATAATACAATGGTTATTCCACCCAATACAGTTGATTACTCAGTAACTGGCCTTTGTCCTTCAGAATGCACAAGAAATGTATAAATAAAAGCATGTACATGTATAATTCCAATAGCTTTTTGCTTCCTTTAGTTCCTACCTCCTAATGGTGTCAAGGTATTTGCCAACATGTTCCACACTCATACAGCAGGTATAGTTACACATAAACTTTTATTTTGCATTAAATCATGAAACAGGATCAAAGCTTATCATTCATCATATTAGACAGTTGGAGTGTTCTCCAGGTATCTCAAGATATGAAGAGCTTAGCCCAATTGATAAAAACTATCATTATGACTTTAATTTCCAGCAGTTTAACCACTTAAAAAAAGAAATAACTGTACTACCGGTATGCTTGTAACAAATTTTCTCATTGTTTAAATAAATTATAGGGTGACAGCTTGATGCTGGAGTGCTACTACAATACAAGCAACAGGAATAAAATTACAATGGTTAGACAGTATGTTTCATATATTACTCAAAGTTTACTGTTATCACAGGGAGGTATAAGCAGTACAGATGAGATGTGTGTAGCAGCATTACTCTATTATCCTCGTGTAGAAAGAGCTGACTGTGAAAGTACACCAACCTTTGATCAGTTTAAAATCTTTGTAGAACAACATGTTCCGTAAGTGTAAAGTATTGTATTATTTGATATACTTTCTGCAAAAACACAGATCTGAATACAGGAATCTGTTTGGTTCTTTAAGTGCCAATTCTAGTCGAGAGAAAATGGAGACAGCAATGAACTTATTAGACTGGACTCCTGAACAAAAAGAATCATACCGAAAATTAATTTACAAAAATGGAAAACAATCGACCAGATGCCTGCCACCTGAAACAGGAAAGGTATAAATTCTAATAATTTCAATGTACCGTATAATGCTTTAATTTGGCGGAGTTTTATTTTGGAGATTGGTGGTTTGCAAGCAGAATCACCAATATTAAAACTGCCAATCATTAATGTGCATGCTCAGTAATGCACGTGTACACAAAAATCGCCAAATAAAAAACGGCCAATTACAATTTTACAGCAAAATCGCCAAAATAAAGTGCTGCCAAAATAAAGCGCTATACGGTATTACATTCCATTGCTTTTAACAGACAATTATCAGTACAGTTCCTCAAGTATGCTGTTCATATACATCACTACAATCCTGTAACAATGAAGAGCAAGTACTGCCATGTTGTAAAAGAGAATGTGTGCAAGAGGTTTCTAGAGGAAGTGCTGGTGCAAGCAGTAGTGACATACAGATCATCATTCTCATCATGCTAACTGCAATCACTTTATTCCTATTGGTCTTGGTCACTATATTTTGGCCACAAATTAGTCATCGTTACCTAACTTGATTAATTATTTTTGTCGCCTCACATCATCATACCAATGTAATTAAAATTTCCAAGTCAAATAAATTATAATTCGTGTGACTTTATAATAATTATTTATATCAATAACAAAATTTTAATTTTTGACACTATATAAATTATATGAGCTAAAAGAATTCATTAATGTCTCTTTCCCCTAAAGCCTCCTCCAGTTCCACTTCCTCTTATGTATACTAATATCTACAAGAAAGGAAACAAATATAAAACCTAATCTTCACCTATGCAGAGCTGGGTGAGGCAAAAAAGAGTTATAACATAAACCTATTACTATTAGCAACATCAATAAAGATGAACTTGGCCCATAGATTAGTACAAATAGCAACTCTAAGAACTTATTTTAAGGAACTTGGTATCAGAGAAAATTTGATCAGAGAAGTTAGTCTAGTACTGTAGTACACTTTAAAGGTTTAGGTGAAGTGTACTGTTACATTTTATTCTATAAATCCCATCTCTCCTAAGTACCTTGTCAATATTTGCCAATACAAATATAACTATCAGTGCCACAAAAATACCAACAAAAGATCCTCTGTAACTGTTACCATTAGCTAATGGGACTGACTACACAAGAGATAAACATACTGTAAAATAATAAGATGCTATTCCTATATACTTACTTTGGCTGTAACATTAAAAGTGACATGTGTGTCTCTCCCAGCTGTTAGAGAGACATTTGAATTAGAAACAAATACCTTGTAAGACTGAGAGTATAGCAGACTGGAATCCAACTGAACATAATATGGCTTCTATTTATAAAAAAGTTATAACAATGAGAGGTATAGTCAAATAGCTAAAACATACTGAATTATTATGAGGGAGAGGTGGCATACGAAAGAAACCAATAGGATCAGTTCCTACTGAAAACACTTGAGACTCTAAATATTTATCACTGTACAGACCAACCTGTACAAAAGAAATATTGTATATACATGCACATTGACACACAATGATCATGCTCACTGTAATGTATGTTAATAGGTCCAAATTATTAATAATGACATTTCCAGTTACATAAACTCGTTCATTCTTTAGCACTGCAATAAAGCTCTCTCCTTCAATATCCTTTTCACTTAACTAACAGAAAAATAGACATACATGTACATGAACATTTATACAAAGCTAATTTACTGTAAAATGGCGAGTGACAGGTAGCCCTTTCTCAATCATTGATTCATCATTAGTTGCTAACGACAGCTGATACTGACACTTAGGCTAATGGAATATTAATGAATCTATTTATTTAATATTCTTATTCTGTTACCTGTAAGCCTCTAAATTTATAGTGTCCTTCCTTATCAGTGAGTACAGCATCATGATAATTTTTGCAATGACCTTCATTATCTACTTGGGAAACTAACTAGAAAAGAGACGAGTGTCTGTGGGTGTGCCAATGTACATCTTACCTCAACACTAACTGACTCTAATGGAGACCCATTGAGAGACAAGACTTTACCACTACAACTGAAATAAATATCATAATAATAATGATTTGTATGTAATAACTAAAATACAAAATGTACATTAAGGTGCAAATAACTATTGCAATTTATAGTTAAACTCTTAAAAATCAATATTGTATAGCACACATTGGTGGAGTAATTGGAGTTAAAATTTGGTGATTGGTCAAAATCTGCCATTTTTTGTTCTAAGCATGTCATGGCTGCTAATCCCCCGCAAAAATGCCAATCAATGCATTCACAGAACTGTCCATACTAAGTGCCCTGCTCCATGTACATATGTATCTGATACCATACAAGATGCTTAATTGGCAAGGAATTAAAGCATGCATAATGACACATTAGGCACTAAATTGTAAATCATATAAAAACTGCCAATTACACCTATTTTGACAGACAAATTTGCCCAATATTAATAATCATCTTTTACAGTAGTTATTAACAAAACTGAAGTACATGAATAATTACATGTGCATACCATACTATACATGTCATGTACAAACCTAAAGGCAACTCTAATGGCTTTAAAATTAACAGATAAATCTTCTCCTTGTTTCAAATCAACAACCTGTAAAAATCACAATGGAAAACGATGCAAATAATTGATATGGATGTACATTCACATGCAAATTGTGAGTTATAAACACAATTACACAAAACTAATAAGTCATGACTGTATGTACTAACCATTGATGGAGGCTGAAATTCAAACTCCCTCAATAAAGGCTTTATATAGTATTGACCTGGGAGCTAATAAATTTATGTGTATTAATTAACTAAAAAGATTCATTGTCTTACAATGTCACTGTATGCTACAAAGCCTTCTTCTGATGTAGTGGTAGAGTTTCTTAAGCCTTCACCATTCACTGATATCAATACACCTGCTAAAGGATTCTGAGTGGAATGATCACTGATCTGTAGAGAGAGAGGGGATCACTTTAGAATGATTGTGGTTTTTCTAACTTTAATTGTAAGTTTTGATTTCTTTATTGCTTTAAAGGAGTGTAGGTCATCATCAAATGGTTCAAATGAATACTCTTCTAAATAAGGAACCTAAAAAATAATTGAGTACAAATTTAAAATGAAATTGCAAAAAACTTGCAATTTCAATACTACTGAAATGGCAATACTATTCAAAGTTTCAAACATTAATTGCATTGTTGGACTCATAAAATAGATCTACATTCATGGCTACCTTACTCGGAATCAGCTCAAAGTTGATACACAACATGACAGGAGTCCATAATGTGGGTAAAGAAGGAGTAGGAGTGTGAAGCGCCCCCGCTTTAATGAGATTTTCTTTCTGCTTACCAGAGCTAGCGGATATACTATTTTTAGACGAGGGTGTGGTCTTTTTTGACCACACCTTACGCATGTTGATGCATATGGAGGCCTCGATGGAGGCTTGCTAATTTTGCCATGCCGCTAAAAAAAGAAGCCAAGAGCAGCTAGATTCGTGAAGAAGGATGTGGATTATATGGTGAAAAGGCTATTTGAAGAAGAACACTACTGCTATGATGATACCTAAGCTGCGTTCTGGTACCACATTAGCTTTCTTGGTCACAATACTTCTTAAAGCATGTCTTATAGGTGTATCAATCCTAGAGCAATTTCTGGTAGCTAGCTTAGGGGATCTCCTGGAGGTTTATTGCCTGAAGTAACAGAAACTTCTAGAGAAACTGCTTAAAAGCTATGTAGACATAGTAATAGACTCATCCATTTTGCGTAAGGTGTGCATGTGGTCAAAAGCGACCACACCCTCGTCTAAAAATAGTATATCCGCTAGCTCTGGTAAGCAGAAAGAAAATCTCATTAAAGCGGGGGCGCTTCACACTCCTACTCCTTCTTTACCCACATTATGGACTCCTGAACATGAGGATATGTACATGTACATGCACATGCATGCATATGTGTATATGTACAAAAAAATAAAAATTTTCTTGGAGCCATTTTTGACAAAATTTGACTAAAGGGCAAAGGCTATAGCTTCTAGTCGTTGGCTCAATTTTGAGCAACTATAAAGCAAAACTGTTTACATGAAGATAATAGAATATAGTCATTGTACTTATAAATGCATTTAATATTGACATCATGAAACATGTTTTAAGCTCAATTGACTCCTGTATAAAAGATGTTTTGTGAAACGAAGTTTCTATAGTGTATCATAGCCTTTAGCTTCTCGCCTCTTAGAAGATGACTACAGCTGTTAAGTGTCATTTATTATTTAAATGTGCATACTCCATGCACACATGATAAATATCCTGATAGTTAAAACAACAGTATCATAATCTTGATAATAGCTGTACAGCAATCTATACTATCGCTAAGCCTAATGCATACTGTAGTATCAGAAAAATTCTATAGAAAATTTTCTCATTTGTTGAGATCACTTTTTTGAGCAACTTGAACTGATAAGAAGCTGCATGAGCACTATGCAAAAATCTAGAGGGAAACTTGATGTACATGTACATGTTATATGCTAGTAAATGTACATGTACCACTGGTATGGCTGAAAACCATGTAAACTACAAGTCAACTCAAAAATTAGTAAAAGGAGAATTTTATTTACTTTAAGAAAAAAGGAGCAATACATTTATAATACACACACAGTAGAGGGCATAATGACTCACCACAGTATATTTGGTTGATTCTGACAATGGTCCAACCTTATACTGGCCCTCATCATCTGTTGTTACATTATACTCATTGTCTCCAGTTGTTACTGTAATAGAAACACCAGAAAGAGGAGGATCAATCCGACCAATCACAAAGAAACCGTGACTACACTCAAATGGAGGAAGAGACTCCGGACAGTCTAAAACCAATAATATTTATAAAATATCATAAAGATATGTAATACAAACCGCTCTTAATGGTATAGTTGTATTTCTTGGGATAAAATAGGAGATTGGGAGATGTAGGACATAGAACAACCCATTCCTTTGGCCTAGGATAAATTGATAAAAATTGATGATTATAAATAAAAAATAACTATAGTGTGAACTGTATGGTACATGCACATCGCAACAGCCAACAGGGCAAAGTAAAGGACACTTACTGTATAGCGCAAAATTTTCAAGGGCTGTAAATATAGCAAATTTGGTAAATCTTTAAAGATTTGTGAAAATTAATTCTGTAAAAATCAATTTATTATGTTCAAGATGGTAGACAAAATAATTTTGCAAAAAATTTAATCCATAACATAGCTTTTTACGAAATTTAGAGCCCTCAAAAATTTTGCGCCATACAGTATGACACATGAAGTGACTAGCGGAGTAAAGACTCAACACTAATGGAGACTCAATGTGGTACACACACATACGCCAGGACTTACATGCAATTGGTTTAAAAGTGCCACTAAATTTTGATATTGTTAATTTTACCTCCAACAAAGTACCTTAGAGTGACTTTTAATTGCGGGTACTAAATTTTGCGATTTTAGCACAAGGTAGATTTTGCTGGTATTAAAAATTGCGATTAAGTAATTATTACTAATAGTTATATGGCATCATGATGTTATTATTAATAATTGCGCGTATTAATAATTGCGATTTTTAACCCAAACGCAAAATTCGAAATTAATAGTACCCGCATTTAAAAGTAACCTTAAGGTATATATATTATAGTGGAAATTAAACTTAAGCTGAGAATTGTACTATGAGCATACACAGTCATATAAGCATATAAAGATGGGTTCTCAAAGTGACAGGTGCGCTAGCATCAAGAATGAAAGTGCTATAAAAACAAATGGGAGTAAGTGTCAATGCATCAGATTAGAAAAATTTTTCTCCTGATGCATACTCCCATTTGTTTGTACAGCACTTCCACTGGCACATGAAAAGAAATGCATCATATTGAGAGCCCAAAGACATAAGAATTAGATTCATACGTACATATACTATGTCCCAACTGAGTTTGGACCAAGAAAAACTGGAATAACTTTTTATAGGAATGTGGGATAAGAATGAGACTTTCACAGGTTCTTAGTCGCCCAATGCCGCTTCAGGATCTCAGGTCTTGGGTCTCTCAGCCCTTGGGAACCCTGAGAACCGGGTTATCCCTATAAACCCAATGGCATACCAAAGCTAACCGCAATGACGTTCTATGATGTCATAGTTTACATAAGCACATGTGGTCGAGCTCCCAAACTGATAATTCTTCCTTTAAAGTGCTAATAGAGCAAGATCTTCTGATAATGATGGCCTTTATGAAGACTAGTTGACTCCAGTAGCTATTGTACTGCTTATCAGGAAGAACAAGACTGTTTTAAGAGTGAAACAACACAGCCGAAATATCAGCCATGTCTCTATGAATATCATTATGACACGTCATTAGTGACGTAACTACATTTTTCAAATTCCAATGCAGCTGCTTCCACTTCCGGTCCATTCTCAGTTGAGACATAGTATACATGGGCATATAATAAATGTACATGTACCTTCCATAGAATGAGAAATAATATATTGTATCATTCGTTCCATTGACTCTTTTTTCAGCTGAAACAACAGATGTAGTTCCATTACTAAATAAAATAAATAAATTTGATCAAGAGTGAGAGAACAAGTACACAAATACATACATGTATGTTCATTTAGTGACCTTAAGCTTTGATTTCAAAATTTTGGCAATGACAGATATTCACATGGCATATACTACATGCACTTTATCCACAAAGTGTAATTGGGGCAAGCATGAGCGAGACCCACACTAATCTGTCTAGGTCTATTTGCGTTACGTCTTGTTTGTGAACGGAAAAATACGAAAATTAAATTAGTATACTACTATTGATTAATTTGGACCACGTGGGCAAAATTAATTTAGAGAGTGTGGTCAAAAAAGAACAAGATGGCGGAAATTTTAACGTGACAAACTCAGACTGAGTTTCTAACAGCTATATAAGAGAGAGGGGCTGTCTAAAACATCTGAAAGGCTGAAGAACTTAAAAGCAGCTTGATCAAGACTCCTTTAGATTAGTCCTCTCATTGAAAGAATTAAAATTGGGAGAACAGCTTGATTACTGAGAACTGAGTTTAGCTTGGCTGGCATTTCTCAGAGTGGCAGGACAGTTCATTCTTGTCTCTTTTACTGGGTCAGTTGTATTAAATGGTGTGTTTGCTCTGTTCAGACCCTGCAAGGCCATGAGGATGGGGTCTGAAATTCTGGGGTTGACTGATTTTATTTAGTTCAATCTTATTTCAAATGGTAATTGATGGAAGCTAGATTAGAAGTTTAACTTGGTACATTTTCTCAGTGTGGCAGGACTCGTTCTTGTCACTTTTACTGGGTTATTTTGGTTGTGTTGACTGGTGTGTTTGCTCTGTTCAGACGCTGGCCATGACGCTGGGGTCTGAATATGCATGCAGGCTAAGAGCTGGATTGATTTTATTTAGTTCAATTTTATTTCAAATGGTAATTGATGGAAGCTAGATTAGAAGTTTAACTTGGTACATTTTCTCAGTGTGGCAGGACTCGTTCTTGTCACTTTGATTTGGTTATTTTGGTTGTGTTAACTGGTGTGTTTGCTCTGTTCAGACCCTAGCCATGAGGCCGGGTTCTGAATATGCATGCAGGCTGAGAGCTGGATTGATTTTATTTAGTTCAATCATAATTTATTTCAGTTGTTAATTGATGGCTCATGCTCGCCCCCACAATGTTTACATTCACCTAGTTATTTTTAACATGTATAAGAACATGACTGCATCAAATAAAGCCAGGAATAAAATATTTCACATGAAATAAGGAAAAGTATATAGGTACATGTAAGGTATACCTACAAAATTGTTTCTCATTTACAAATGTAGAGGTTATAAATTTTAGTAGAACTAATTTTATTGAATACTTATATTAAACTCAATGGAGATTAATTCAAAATAAGTAAACCCACTATAGTATAAACCCCAAATCCTCAATACATGATATACAATAAATGTACATTGTACCTATGGGTAACGTCCAAGAGAATGGGATCATCCGTTTGACAATGAATCACTACATCAACTTTATGACCCACTGCCTTTATTTCCATTGGATAAGGAACACTCCTATGATTACCATCACAACTTACTACTGACTCCACCCGCTAAAGGTAACTCACGTCATATACATGTACATGTCAGCCTCAAATGTGTGACAGGACACAGGAACAATCACAAACTGACCTAATTAAAGTAATGATTAATAATAAGAGCAATCATGTAGGACATCTGTACATGATAATACTTAATAGGCATGCACATACATGATGTACATGAAGAAACTAGCCGGATAATAGTGTATACTTGACTTGCTCTGTTTTTTTTTGTATTTTACAGAATAAGATGAATAAATGTTATTACATGTATGCTACTGTATACTGTATAATGGGTCTCATAATACACAATGTAAAAACATTCAATTAAATGACATACAGTATACACATATAAATGAGATAAATGTAGTTGAGTTTTACAAAGAATAAAACGCCAAAGTTAATGAAGTAAAAAACTACTCATACTTAACATTATACACAATAATTATTATTAACAAATAAGAAACAAAAACTAAACAAACCTTCTCTGTCCATACAAATGTAATTGAATCCTTTTTTAACTGACATGCTCATTATCACTTCTTTACCTTCCATGATATTCTAATTAAAGCCCAATGTACAATGTAGTAGAGTACATTAAGTTGCAATAAAAAGCTAACATACCACATCAGCATCGTGTGACATATCCATGGTAAGAAGATAGCCTGTCTGATTGAAGTGAACCACAGGAGGATTGTCCTGAGGAGTGGGAGGAATGGATAGACTAATTTCCTCCTTTTCCCAACACCATTGTAAAGAATCCTCTAGTGATACTAGAGATATGGGGAGAGGCAGAGAGCAATGTGAGAGATAGAGAGTGGGTGCATCACAAAAAGAAATAATTAATTTTTCTTACTTTTATAATTTCCAGGTAATAATTCTTCAACAGTAAAAGAACTAATACTACCGTGTATGGTTACCTAAATAACACACATGTACAGTATCACTAATTCACAATAATAGAGAATAATAAAGAATAGGAAATGTACTACAGTACCTTAGCACTCAATTCCTTCTCCTCTTTCCCTCCTTCTCCTACACGTAGCTCCTCTATCAGTAGATTCATTCTCCTGCACATTACTAAACACGAGACAGAGCCAGAGAGAGACACAATGTACTGATTGAACTCTAGACCAGATATGGGAGCTGCTTCTACAGTAATAGGGAGAGCCAAAGGCAGAATACTTAATCCCCTCTCCGCCTCATTTTCAGATACAGTTACCTACAAAGAGCAATATACTGTAAAAGTGGAATACTGTAAGTTGACTTTAATTTTAAAATAAAAAAATTAAAAGGCAATGTTTTTTTGTTAATTACATGTATATTAATTTATAGTAGCTCACACATAAACTGTAAAATTAAAACACATAAAAATTTAGAAATTAAATAATAAAGGCAGTAAAATATTTAGAGTTGCACCGACATTGTGATTGGCTTATCAAATATCGGCCCATTTTGAGAATATTGGTTATTGGTTATAAAAAAGCTACCAATTCTGATGTTATAACAGGTGGTATTGCACATGCACAGTAGGATACCTTAAGCCTACTATTATGTGTCTACTAATTTTAGCGAAATCAGCAAAAGTCATGTTTAGCGTTACTAATTTTAGCGTTTTTAACCAAATTAACTATAAATAATAACCATTATAATGAATAATAATTATTTTGGCGTCTATTTAATTTAGCAATTTAAAGCTCTCTCGCTAATATAGCTAAATTTCGTAGACGCTAAGAATAGTAGGCTTAAGGTAATTAGTCACGTGAAATGTTACTATAATAACATGTGGTGGTTTTCTAAAAGCTGGGTGAGTCCACCTGCATAGGCTTAGCTAACTTATTACTGAGTCAAAGATGTCCAAAATCGATCATGTATATGGGACTATTACAAACTAGTGAAGACAGTAGATTTGCTATGGGCAATTCTTGCCAGAAATACTACTTTTAGGTACAAAGAACTTTGGCTATACAAATTATGTTATTGATTAAAATTTGTTAATAAATACTTAATAAACTTTAATATTAGTTATTAAAATCGGATCGGTTATCGGTATCGGTCTTTATCGGCAATAGAATATTGGTAAATTTCTGTATCGGTGCAACTCTAAAAATATTCTACTTGTATGGTAGCATCAACTATATATACAATTATACATGTACATTTGCCATCACCTTGAGGGAGTATTTGCCAGGAGACAGCATGAAACAAAAGTTTCCTTTGGAATCCAAAGATGTAACCTGTCTGATCTCTTCAGGTTCTGATACCAGTGCCACATTCCTAGACTCAGTCTACAATTATTAATAATAATAATTATAATTTAGCACACTACAACATTCTTAGTTTCTTACATAAAATTTTAGGCTGCGATGATGACGTGTGATAGTCACATGACCACAAACAGAGTAACGTGAAGGGGCGATATCAGGAAGCTCAGGGGAAGTGGGAGACACATCAAGATTCACTGGATCAAACTCGAGGGAATTCCCTTCAATCTAATAATAACAACAACCAAAACATTGATGGGTACGCATGCAGCCACGTATATACCATTCAAGATGATTTATTGGCGGGGAATTAATATTGGCAATAGGTGGTTCTATGAAGAAATCGCCAATATAAAATCCACCATTTTGTTTCAAACTGAGCATGCTCAATGGCACAAAATCGCCAATATAAAATTTGCCAATTTCTTTCCACAGGCAAATTTGTCAAATATTACTCCCGCCAATAAATCATCTTGTATGGTAAATTAATATACACTGTACAATTGCACATGTACTAATTAATTAGAGTGAAACAAAATGACAAAAAGCATCACCTTTTACCTTAATGGTGTATGATCCTGCACTGACATTAAGTAACTGATAGCGACCATCTTTATCTGTGATAGCCTGTAGCTGCCCTCCAAAATCAACCTTCACTCCCTCCAGCCCACTACCCTATAGCAATATCATGGACTGTAATAAAAAGGCAAGATTTACTTTATGATGACTCAGCACTCTTCCAAATATCGTAAATCCTTGAACTTCAAATTTTGGCTGCAAAGGAACAAAAAATCCTCACAAAGGGAGACACTAGAGTTACCATGACAAGAAGAGAATCATTCTTAACAGTAAAGGACAGACTTTCAGGATATACCAGAAATGTACTATTAGCACTTTCATAATGAGACTCCTAAAATGAGAGAGAGAGAGAGACCCATTGAAGGTTTTTGTTATGTGGTTCTATTTGAGTCACTGACAAGTTTATACTTTCCAGGTGGTAGTGAGTGATAAGTGAATACTCCACTAGCATCAGACACTGCAACACAATCACCAGACTCTGTTACCGATTCACCACAGAGGGACTAGATATAAATAATATAAAATTTGTAAGTCTGCTCAGACTCCCCCTCCCCCCTCTCTCTATCATTTTCACAAACTTTGCCAGAGAGTGTTTCAGAATAAAGAAGAAACCTCACACCACGAACAGGTTCACCATTACTCTCAATATTACCCTATAAATACAACACATAGTCAAAAAACAAAGATTTTTGCCCAGTATTAATTCATGTCTTTTTCCATCAATGGTTGGATTCAATTTTTAATCCTCATACTGTAGACAACTAGACATACACCAGAGCTGCAAACACATAAAAATGTGATCAAAATTTAATCAAGTCAAATTTTGACCTGCAGCTACTAATCAAAATAATTAATTATCCTGTTGAAAATAGGGGTGGGCGATATTGAAAAATTTTGTTTTGATACGATAATATCGATATATCGGTCATTTTTAGTTGATATCGATATAAATTCGATATGATATAGACACGCCCATTAATTAATTCAAATTAACAGTTATAAGTTTTAATAAGATAATGACTAGGGGGTGGGGAACTATAGAAAGAGTAGCTATAGAGAAAGATAGCTACATAGCTATAG